CGATGGTTTTCAACCAGTTGATGGTTAAAAAAAATCCCGTGAGATTGGTGAGCCAGCTCATCTTGGTAGATGAGTCTCTATCCTTTATAGATATCATCCAGAAGGGATGTGTTGTGAGGAGAGTTATGTTTCCAGTGTTGTGGTGAAGGCTTTATGGATTATTTTTTTATGTCAGCATTTATTAATGGGTGGCAGCTGGATGGAATTACTGGCTCATTTCCTCATTTCTGTTGTAAAATATAATCTTTTTATGTTTTCCTTCTGTAGATCACGTAAAGATAACAAACGAGTGTATAAATAAGCGGCATGATCCAAGAGATGGGGGGATATCTTACTCTGGTAAGAGTTTGAAGTCAAGCTTCCATTTTGTCACGTGATTTCAATTACAACGACTTTTTTAACATACCCTCTCTCCCCCCTTTTCCAGGTCCTAAGGGTGAGTTAATGTTTTTCTTACGTCTCTAAACCTACAGCAGAACGTTAACTTTCTTTTAGGGCAGTAAGAATTGACTGATTTCGCCCCACATATTACATTTCTAACAGGATTTTCAGGAACCCCCACAGATCATGAAAGAGCTGTAGTGTTTCTACATGGTGTATTTTGAATGAATTCACTTTAGCATTTTATGGTTAGATGCAGCCGTGAAAGTCTTCTGGGTTAACAAGACCTCTTTTTTTCGTTAGCCTCTGCAGGTGTGAAGCTCCGAGCTGGGTCAGAGGTCACCGCTGGACTATCAGGACTAGTGGACATGATTGACACCTTTGACCGTCCTGGTAGGGCCTTTGCTTGTGACACCTACGCAGGTACATCTACATATGCTCATGGACTGGAGAACAAAACTGGAAAGCGCATTCCCAAAGCAGGAATATGTGCTGAGGCCGGAGTGGGCCGCGCTAAAGCTGAATGGAGCATCTGTGAGGCTGAGGCTAAAGGCCCAAACGCCGCAGCAGGTCTGGGAGCGTCCGCAGGGACTCTGAGTGCTTCAGCGTTTGCCAGAGCGGAGGTGGCCAGTGCCTCGGCCTCTGCCGGGCCAGTGACAGCTAAAGTGGGTCTGTCAGTCGACACGGGGGCAGAGATCGGTCTGACGGGCGTGGAGGCTAAGGTGCTGGGAACCGGCTTTTCCTTTGGTCGCAAGATGGGCGTCTCGCTGTTTGGCAACGAATTCAGTTTCAAGCTGTGGTAGAATGTCCCGGCTGAATTCTGTACTATCATTCAGTCTTTTAATGCTAATGAGTCCCCTAAACAGAAAGAGCCTCCTATCACTATTTTTACTGCTCACTAACACTTTACACATAACTGATCTTTTGCATTGAGGCCTCCTTTTAGATCATAGAAAGAAAGGTTTGTCTGAAAATAGGGACTATAAATGACTGATTTTCTCCATCCTTTTGAGTTCACTTCAACAGGTTTGAGATGGAAGATGGCTGGTGTTAAGACTGGAGGAACATCTTATGTGTGAATGCTTCCAAACTGGAAGAGAACCTCCATAGATGGTATTTGTTGTTAATGAGGGTGACTAATTATTGTCATGGGTAATATACTTCTATATCAGTATATTCAATATAAAATTAAGACGAGCGTTTCTGTGCCTTTATTGGTGTACTGTTGTAATATCTTTACAATGTAATACACTTTGTCTTAATCATTTATTAGTAAAAAGAAAATGTATCCTAATAAAGCTGATGTATGATTCTATAATGTACACTGGTGCAGTTATTTAACTCTCTGTGGCACGGTGTTGCCCTCAGGCAGCATTTTTTTGTGTTCCAGTAAAAACAGTTTGGTCTAAAAGTTGTGTAATGCTGTTCATGAAACTTACTCTCCGATTTGTCCTTTACCTCCGCAGCCCGTTTCTCCTGTGAGTGAAACAACACAATAAGAACGAGCAATAATTGACACATTTTTATTTAAAATAATCTTTTTGTTCAATCACATCTTTAACAGAAGTTGTCTTTTTTTTACAAATATAGATTTACAAATCATTTTGTTTGCTATGACTTAGCATTGCATACGAAACTCTACTGGACCCTACAAATATAAAGTTTTCCTTTATTGAAGCCTAATGTTTTGTGTGTTATTCCTCGCCTGTTAATCAGCTAAGAGGCTTATCGATGAAAAACACAGACAAAGAAAGGAGGAAAGAAAACACAAAAGGTTAAAAAACAATACAAACCATCAAACCAAGACTAAAAGGGCTGATCAGCGTTCCCCTTTACAGCGTCACAGAGGGATCACATGGTAAATCCTGTGAAATGCAGATTGAATGAGTGGCTGGTGAGACTCAAGTGGGGGCCATCGTCACAGAGACGCAGGAACAGCAGCCCATAGAATCAACACCGCAAATCTCTAATATAGAGAAAAACCTCTGGGAGAATTCTGGAAGAACGGTTGGTTTCAAATATTCAACATGCTGTATGGCAATATTTAGCTTCTTTCATTGACTTTGTCAAAGTTTTTCCCCCTTTTGAAACAAAGGACATCTTTATTCTCCAGCGTAAAGTGCAGCCTTCCACATCTGGATCACAGCTGGCTGTCCTGTATGTGTCACTCTTTCTGCCCTTTCACTGAGATAGAAACGAGCAAAAACCTGCTTTATATTCAGTGATCACGGTGCAATTCAGTCCTTTCAGCTCAAAAACACCATTCTTCCTCAGACGGATGATTGCTAATAAATTAAAGTTGAACCTTAAAAGTTACATGGCCATTTTCAAAAATATAATATCGCAACAAGATGCTTCACACGAGAGAAAATAAATACCATTTTTAAGTTAGTGATAAAACAAAGATTCAGCTTAAAGTAAAAGGCAAAGTGCAGGAACAAGCATGTGCTGCTCTTTTCCTCCCACCTGTGGAAGAAAACGCCCTCAGCCCCCAGCCTCTTCCCTCCCCCGCATCATACAACCCCCCCGAAACCTTCCTGCTCTTCTACAGCAGATCAGCAGAGGGCCACAGTGGTACCGGTGGAGCGGCAGACTGGAGCAGAATGGTGACCACAGGCCAGCGCCCAGTTGCTGGTTTGCATCCCTAAATGAGACGTCAACGACTTTCTGCCTGAACGAACACGCTTGAACACCCCCACACCTGAAGGCACTTTAACAGACTGGACCAGGAAAGGAAGGATGTCAGGGCAAAAAAAAAAAACTACCAAAAAAACTGTAATTCCCACGTTGACTTAAAGTTCCTGCTGGACAATTCGGTATTTCATGTTCTTCCTTTTGTTGGTTAAAAGTTACCGCAAATTCTGAGAGTTTGGATGAGGAATGTCTGTGGTCGGTGGAGAAATCGTTAAAGAATAAATAAATGTCCACGCATGCGATCAGGATTTGGTCCACAAATGAAGACGGGCAGATGACCTCCAGCTGGTCATCACATGCACACTCCAGACAAAGCTCCTTAACCTGGGAATGGATTTGCATATTTTTCCCTCTACAGTGTAAATCATGAACTTCACCTGGACCCTTTGTCCGTGGTCCGGGGTCTTGATCTCCACCTCTGCAGGCCGGTCTGGGTGGAGCTAAACCTGTGGGCAGCTGCGCCTGGACCAGTGGACCGACGGACCCGTGTCCCCGTCACAGTGTGGCCGCGGTCAGATGGGGGGGGGGCGCCGCTACACCTGCTGCTGCTGCACCAGCCGCCTGTAGTGGGCCATGACCTGGCTCTCCGGGAGGTAGAGCGCCATCTCCAGGGCGACCAGAATGGTGAACTCGAAGGAGATGAGCTCCCTCCGGCCGATCCTGAAGCGCTCCTCCAGCTTCTGCAGAGACACCGCCGGCCGTCACGCGTCTGCGGGAGACCTCTCCGGGCTCCGTGTGTGTGTGTGTGTGTGTGTGTGTGACTCACGTCTATGAGGTGTTTGACCTCCTGCTTCTTCAGGTCGCTGCTGATCTTGGCGGCCAGCAGGATGCAGGCGGCCGACACCAGCTTCCTGTGGGACATCAGCAGTGTGAGCCGCCTCTCAGGAACACCAGGAGCTCTCCTCTAAACAGTGTTCCCGGGCCGTATCGGTTCCTGGGTGGAATTTACTAAAGAACCTAACTGGGGTTCCACCAAGTCAACACCAGGGGGAGCTGCTGCCTCAGCGGCGTTACTCAGACTGAACGCAGCGAGAGGAGTGGGAGAGCCTTCACTTCAACTCTACCTGAGGCAAGGACTCATCTCATGACCCAGAGAAGATTCTAGCCTTTTCTTGTGGAGAGCCCTGGTCTCAAATTTGGCCCCCGTGTGGCCCCGGGGAGGCCGACTAGTGTCTGCCCCTCACAGGGTGGTCCTGGCTACTCACAGGACAGCCCCCTCACACACCCTGATGAGTTTATGGTTCTGCATTTAGACGCTTTTATCCAAAACGACTTACAACGTAGACACAAAGTTCCAGTTATCATACGTTCTCTGGAGGAAAATCCCCAGTCAGAATCAGTGGAGACAGCAAAGAGAGAGAGGGAAGAACAGAAAGAGGAGTAGAGGGTCCAGAGGTCTGGAGGAGGAGTTAGGATAGGAGTTGCTCTGTGGAGAGGGGGGTCTGGAGGAGTTTATGAAGACAGACAGACAGCTCTCCATTTACCGGCCCGGGAGGACCAGCTCTGGACATACCTGTTCTGCTTATTGAGCCGGCCCTGCAGCACCAGCTTCTCAAAGTAGACGAATGACATTGCGATGGTCACCGGCTGCAAACCGCAGTCCTCCCCGAACGTCCTCATCTCTCTCTTCAGGCTGCAACACAGAAGCAGCAGGCCACAGAGTTTTCTAGTGCTCCTCACCACGCAAGCAGCTTTTGGAGAAAGTCCAGTTCATGGAATTCGAGTTGGTCACCTGCGGATTTTGCTGAGTGTGAGTTTAACGTGGGGGAATTTCTCCTTAAAGGTCTCGTTCATGTCTTTCTTCAGATCGGACGGTTTGACATATTCTATGACTGTTGTCTGGGGGGGGCGAGGTAGGAGAAAGAGAAAAGGGTCAAAATGAAGAAATCGGAGCAGAAATAGCAAAGGCGTGTGAACGGGAAGTAGGATCTGACCAAAGTCAGATCCTAGCAAAGAGCGTTTCACCCAGCGCCCCCTGTGGTCTCACCATGTAGGAGGCGAAGATCAGCACCCGCTTGTGCTTCCCGCAAGGCCACTGGGGGTCACTCAGGAGGTTGGGGTCGTACTCTGTCACCTCTTCCACACCTGGAGCACAGACACAAACAGTGAGCCCTGCACACACACAGACCCACACACACACACAGGTCTGCGGCCGGCAGAAGGCCCACACACAGGCGAGGGTGTCTAACTCTGAGTTCCTGCTCAGTAGCACACAGTAGTCAGTAGTCACACAGTTGAGATGTTGAGTGTTACATGAACATAACAGGCGGATACTGGAAGAAATTTAGTGAACTCAGGATCACGCATGCACTTTTAGTTCTATCCACTTCCAAATTATAAATAAAAACTAGAAATATCTAAGTTTGGCCTCTCATCTGTGAGATTTATGAGCAATAGATCGAATGATTTTGGGTGAATGTCCGCTGACAGTGATCGGTATCTGGAGAAAACAGTCTGACAGACAGGAAACAGGATTTGTGAGGATTCCCAAAGAGCTGCTGGCTGGAAACTGGGCAGATCTCAGCTGGAGAGTAGAGTCCTTTAAACATCTGAGGAAACTGGACAAGTGGAGGACAAAAGAAGAAGACTTGGGCCTAAAAAACTCTCTCCAGCAGAGGGTCTGAAAGTGAGGTCCTTAAGAAAGGACAGAGAAAAGCAAACAAAGTCTGTCCATGATGCATTTAGCTTTTTCAGAGATAAGTACAAAGAAAGGAGGAGTGGGCTGGGCCAAAGCTAGAAAGCTAGAACCTGACTACTGTGAGAGACGAGCTGAAGACCTAACATCGCTGTGCACCTGCGCTGTTGTGGGTTGGAGACTAATACGAGGCTCCATCTTCAAACAGGGACACACTGACGGTGGGGGGGGGGGCTGTAACACATACATCTGCCTTTAAAGGCTGATGCTGTCTCCACTTTCCATCCGTCCCTCCCGCCAGTCTTTGTTTTTCCTCCCCTTCATCATTCTGCCGTTCCAATCCCTCTTTTAACTCCTTGATCATCTCTTTGCTATTCGTCGAAATCCACGTCTGCCTTTTAATGCCCTGACATCTCTCGATGTGTTTCAGCTTCAGGGTCTCCGCTGAACCATCGACAGACTAAAGGAGAAAGGAAAGGCTCCAGTCTTGCTTTGATCACCTAGTTTCATACGGGCAAACCGTAAGAAAAAAAGCTCTCGGAGTCAGTTTGCCTTATATGACTAACACCGTTCAAAAAGTCACATGACAGTCCATCATGTGACAGAGAATGACATCATCACCAGCATGCCGGTGAGATAAAACCAGATCACAGATGCCAGCGTAGAGGTTTAAATAAGGACCCCGCTTCCAGGCCTGGCTTCCTGAGCAGGGTTTAGGGAGTGTATGTGTGTGTGTGTGTGTGTGTGCGCTGTACCCAAGTCCAGCCCCACAGTGCTGTTGAGCCGACTGGGAGGGAAGCTCCTGCCCGGCATGCTGTGCGTGCTCCTGGACACGGGGATCTGCAGCGTCAGCTCACTGGTGGAGGACGGCTTCTGCCTGACCAGCGCGTTGGTGGGGTAGAGGAACTGCGCGTAGGACACCGACTGACACAGGAGAGACAGGGAGGGGGGAGGTGATTGAACTGTCGAGGCCATGGCCACAGAAGGGGTCATCCCGGGGGATGCCTACCCTGCCGTAAATGTCCAGCTGGAAGCCTTCCAGTCCCGGCAGCATCTCCAGGGTGGTGGAGATGTTTCCAGAGGAGTGTCTCCTCCGCGGGTGGTTCAGTGTGGGGTCACTAAGACAGAGGGAGAGCGTGAGGAAGGGCTCACAAACACAGCCTCTGAGTGGAAACATGCTTCCCCGTCCACAGTGTGTGCAGGTGTGTGTGCAGGTGTGTGGGACGGAAGCAGCACGCACATTTTTTTGTGTGCTCCTTATTTGTGTGCTGCCTCTTGTGGCGGGATGATGTGCAGGCCCAGAACTGAAGCCGGCGGGCAGAAACAGTAGGGAAGGGGCTTAGTTTACATAAGCGTCACTCTTAGTGGGAATCAGTCAGGATGTTTAGGAGTGATTATTCCGGGAGTTTTTATGAGTCACCAGCAGGACTTAAGGTTAAAGCCAGAGGCTCTGAGGATCATGGGAAATTCAGCCACAGCCTGACCTCCTTTCTGTTCCCTCCAACCAGACAGTGCCTCCTCTTCCACTTCCTCCTTTTCCTCTCCTTCCTTTCTCTCTTCACTCTGTGACCCCCACCCGCCCCCACCCCAAAGACATTCCTTTTGACACCGAGGCAGAAAGCGTGCGTGTGTGTGTGTGAGAGGAGTGTGGAAGTGTGCGTTTGCTTACCTGAGGTAGAAGCTCTCCCCGTACGGTAAAACCGAGAAGGCGGCGCACAGGGACCTCTTAGCGCATATGAGAACGATTCTGAAACAGTCAAACACACAGCACCACTCTCAGTAAATCGTCACATCAGCCGCCTGCAAAGCGGGCCTTAGAAAAGGGGGGATTGCTTCAGTGTTGGTCCACAAGTGAGAGCTGGCCTTAATCTGAAATGAGAGGGTTAAACCATCCAGCGTGTATTGTTTAAAGTACACACTTTGGAGCGTGTTTACTACGTGCTTCTTCACACGTGTGTTGATTTAAACCTCCCAGAACAGAACGCCTGTGTTTTCTTATGGCTCCTCTGGAGTGTAAACCCACAGGGAGCCAGGCCTGCAGCTCAGCTCGCCTGCTTTCTGTCTCAGGACAACAATATTTACGCTCATTATCTCAGGCTGCTGCCTCAAAGAGAGTGGAACATGATTCCAAACACTGAGCCCACAGCTGAAACACAATAGTTCAATATTATCTACTGAGACTGATGGCTATCACCGCGTCTCCCTGGAACAGAGAAGCCCCTCAAGCACCAAAAAAAAAGGAAGGAAAGACTGGAAAGTAGCCAAAGCAGCCCCAGTTATCCAATATTAACATTGTTTATTTAGATTCCAATTGAAAGTGTATTTGGATTACGGCGTTAAAATACTTAGATGTATGCTTAAAACGTTACAAATCAACTAATTGTGTACTCGGAGACACATCCAATCCCGCTGGAAAACGGGCTCACAGCCAGCAGTTCAACCTGGGGGCTGCAGATGTTTCCAGGATCCTCCTCCTTTCCTGTTCCCTTTCTGTCTGCAGGCTCTGTCTGCCCACATCGTCCTAGAGCCCAGCAGAGAGACGACAGAGCCAGATTCCTGCTGCTTTCCCCATCAGCGCTCTGACACTGAGCTCACATTCCCCATGATGATCAAGGGGGAGAGTGGAAGGAACCTGCTAAACCCCTGGGGTATTTCTGGGGTCCCTGCTCGTAAATCCCCCACATGATTATTTCTCTGTAATTCCAAACTCTGTATGAACCATCTTGGTTCTTATATCTTAAAGCCACTGTGGAATTAGCAGAAAGCGCTAATGTTCCTGAGCTACTTCTAACGCCCTCGTCCATTCAAAGCTCACTGTGGCTGAAAAGAAGTTGGAATGTATGATAGAGCCTGTAATCCATTAGAAAGGGTCAAAACCAAGAACTAAAGGAACCATAGAGATACACACCCTAGTTCTCTCAGAAGTCAAAGAGAAAGTGACGGCAGCATAAACAGCATATTGCTACCAGATCTCTTCCATTAATCTCATGAAACAGATGAGTTTGAATTTGGTGCTGATGCCGTGTGCGCGCGCGCATAAAGACACACAAATGCACACGCTGTGTGTTCCCCATCATGCATGGGAAATTCAGGAGCATGAAGTCACCAGGGAGCTGAGTGGAAACTGCAGAAGGATCCCATCAGGACTGCTGTAAACAGGAGCCAGTTAGGGGGGAATGCACAGTCATCCATTTATCAGGACATGTTTCATAACACTGGGGACACATTATTCTATTATTACCCACAGGAAAAAACAGAAAGGCAACCCGTAAACTGGAGGTTTCTAAAAAGATCTCATGAAAGAAGAGGAAAAATAGCACTATCCCTTAATGCGTGATTGGAGGGGAATGAGTGAATACAGAATCTGCCAAACAAAGAGTCCAGAGTTTTACAGGTTGACTGAGGTTTGCAGCACTGGTTCCACCAGTCAATGCTTCAGGTTGGCCTTTAGTGAGTGGAAACTCATCTCTGTGACAAGAAGGTGGCTGAGTGACAAATGGCTCTGGTGCTCTCAACTGGATCTATTTTAAAATAACCCCCCTTCCCCAGTCAGCTATTGTCTGGGGGGTGGTTCTGGGTTTCCTTTTATCCAGAGGTGTCATTCGTACACTGTGTGAGGGAGGACAACAGCATGCAACAGAGGAGGAGCCATCGGTCCAGGCCGGCCGAGCTGAGCCCGGCGGAGCAGCTGCTCTCTGCTGTGTGGGTAAAGGTCAGTGGTACTGGACTGAGCTGTGAAAGGGGGTCATGACCTCAGGCACATGTGACAGGACTGTGCACCAGGTCAAGCTGCTAAGACAGACAGGACTTTGAGAACATGGACATGTCCTCTAGAGCTGCACCAACAGGTGGTGGGAGGGTCCCGGCTGGACCTCATGCCCTACAACATCTGCCCCGGAGACCGGAGGTCCTTGGCCTGAGGTCCAAGCCGGCTGTCCTGACCCCCAGGCCTCTCCTGCTGTCCAGTAAGCTCAGACGCTGTGGACAGGAAGGATCGACACGTCCACATCTGGATGTCCTCTGGGTTGGTGGACTGCTTTACCTCCAAACTGTACGCGGGGGGGCACACATGCACACGCAAGCACCACAAAAAAAAACATCCTCACAACAGACCCACCTGCTTCCTCTGGTGTCGTACTGTTTCATGTTTTTGATGAAGTGGATCTTCTTGGCTTGCCGCGGTCTGGGAGACCCCCCCGAGAGGTTACGGGTCCTGCAGGAGGAAGAAGCAGAGAGAGCCTGTATCAGCCACCAGACCCACTACCATACACAACGGACATCGGTGTTGTTGTGTTTGACATTTTCTACCCAGCAGGTCTCTGTGAAAACCCATTTCTAAAACCTTTTCTGCTTCTGGTTTGGATGCCAGAGTCCCGCTGGCAATTCCCACATTTGTCATATCTCTTCTGATGTCTAACCAAGGCAACCAAACAGTTGTGAACCTGTTGGAGCAGCCAAGTGGGCTTTGCAAGGTCGAAGTAGGCCTGGATCGGGACCCAGTAACATACGTTAAGCAGGAGGTGTCTGCTATCTCATCTGACAAATGGAGAAAAAGAGACGGCAGTTTAAAGCATGTGGTCCCTGATCATCACTGGAAATGTGAGCTCAGTTTCAGAGAAAAGTAACACAATTGTGATATCAGGGAAGTGTTTTTTTTCTTTAGGCATGTCTGCAGGAACAGCTCTAGCACCCCTCATCTCAGCTCCAAGTCTGTGGAGACAGACTGAGGAAAAAGTGGACGATCACTGGTTAGCAACACATCAGGAGCCCCTCGGATGGCAAGCCTTCTGCTACAGTGGAACTTTCTGAAAGCTGCCAGCTCATCTGTGTTCTGTGTGGCTGTCCTGTAACAATACTGTGCTGTAACTCCATTTTCAGTTTACTTATATTCATAAATCTTTGTATTTTTTGAGGAGTACCGTGTGAACAGAGAAGTTGTCATCATCACGCAACGTGAAAATGGGATATTTCTGAGGTGCTTGCTTGAATCCTCCACTTGTAGTTTTTGACTTGCCACAGGGGACTTTTGAGAACCGCAAACACGAAGCACTCTGATAAGTAAAGCTGCAGCGTTTAAATAACAGAAGCGATTCTCTGCAGAGAGAAAAATGAGTCCGTGTCTACGGCCGGCGATGGTTGGTCAAACTGAGGAGGATCACAACCCAAACAGCCCTTTTATCCTTTTGGTTATCTGATCGCCACATTTAAAAACCATGATATCGAGTCGTAAAAGAGAGACAGAAAATACAGATAATCAGCGCATGGTGCAAACGGCAGGGAGAGGGGCAGGACTCTGAGGCATGCGTGCATGACTTTAGCTCCCACACGGTGATGCTGGAGCTGGTTTGTGCTCTGAAGGTCAGGCCGTGGGGCTGAGTTGATCTCGTGGATTTAGACGACAGACCTCATCATGAAGGCCGGCCAAGGAGCTCAGCTCAATGACATCACCACAGTTATGCAATGAAAGCGATATTAGCATTAGTTTATCTCTCTCTCTCTCTCTCTCTTAAACACACACACACACCATCTGCACAAATGCTGACAGTCTGTGATACAGTCTTTAACCCACATCCAGCACATGGACACACACACACACACACACACACGTTAAGCCTGCAGCTCTTTGCAGATTTCTGCAAACACGTGTGTGAATGTGAAACCATCTGAACCGGCGTTTAGACCGTGTCCTTGTCAGCCAGTCGACCAACACAACAACAATAGGAATACAACATTTGTATCCGTTTCAATTTGATGCAGGTGCCTAAAATAATGCGCTGTTCTCTTCTGGACACGCCCCCCAAAAGAGAACAATAGCCATCACCAAAACCTGCCTGTGTCAGGATGTGGATCGGGGTTCTGAAATCAAGCCTCCAGCAGGAATCTTTGAATATCATTTAAATTCCATTTGAATGGTGTCACTCTTATAGAGGGACGTGAAAGTGAGCTCGCCTGTGCACGTTTAAGCACAAACACACACTGAAGTGCTCATAAGATTTGAGCTGTGCTGACATTTAGTTTTGTGCACTAGTATCAACAGTGAACACCTCCCCCCAGTCATGTTTGGCATCAGATTGCAAAGAACAGATTAACAGTAATAAACAAGTCATCAAAGGTTGGCCGTCGAGGGAGATGTTATGATAGAAAAGCTCATTTGTTTGGCATAGCTTTGGCTTTCTACCTGGCTTTAATACTTCATGTTCTACTAGTTCTGGTCTGGCTCTGCTCCTCACTGGCCATTATGCCAAACTGGCCGCAGAACTCAGGGGAAAAGCACAGAAAAAAGGCCCTGCGGGGAACATTTCGATGGAATTTCTGTTGTAGAAAATGTCTCTTTTTTCCCCCTTTTTGGCAACATCTTAATATGAATGCCGAAAAATGGACTCAGTCAAAGCAGATCGGAAACAGGCTGGCTCACACACACACACACGCCCGCGTATATAGCATGTGTTAGTGTTTTTGCTCTGGCTGACCGGCTGTAAATCACCGTTCCCACCGCTGACCGACTCCCCGATGCGGGCCGTGCTGGGCGGTGACAACACTGGGCTGGGAAGATGTTTTTCCGTGTCTCAGTCACATGGGATTTAGGGCTCTGATGGGATTTTGTCCTCTGCATTTATCAGCCAGCATCCCAGAGATCTCATCTAAACATAATCCAAACTGTTTCTCTGTCAGTGTTCAGAACAGCGGCGTGGAAACAGTTCATACCCATTTACATCAAGCACGTGGGGGACAGAGACCCCCCCCCGAACCCCCCAGCCGTCAGGCCAGGGCCCCTCAGCAATCTGCACCCCACAGCTCCAGGAGGAGACCAAAGCCTCAGAGACCCCCGGAACAGGCCAGCTGACCCCAGCCCAGGAGCAGGCCTGTCCCAGCGGACGTCCAGAGGGGGGGGGGCACCCAGGCCGAGACCCGCCGACTGACCAGCTGTAGTTCTGTGGCTGCTCACCCCCTGTGCCCGTCCCTACCGGGGCCCAGCAGCCATGAGCACCACGGCCCTGACGCACCATGATGGAATACCATCGGCATTCCACTTTGTGGGAACGTGCTCGGGTCTGGAATGTCCCCACTGTGTGGGAATGGACAGAGTGGCAGTGGGATGTGGGACGTCCGAACACCACCATCTCTTAACGGGGTGGGGTTTTCTGCAAGCAAACGCTCCCCCCCCGTCACAGCCATGAACACCAGCGCTCCTACATCTGGATCCTTATCACAACGTTCTGACCTCCGTCCCTTTTCCACGAGAGCCAGCCGGCTTCATGGCTCTGGGATGTGGTGGAAACTTCCCGTTGTGTGGGAACGGAAAATCCAGTTCGGTGTTCCCCCACTGCTGCTGACCACTGTCCACCCAGAGACTCATGACCTGCATGCTGACCTGCACTGACCAGCTCATGCAGTTACTGTACTCACTAGATTATTATCCACGAGTGTATGCATGTGCGTGCACACCAGTGGTGGAGAAAGTACTCATACAATGTACTTAAGTAAAAGTACAAATACACAGACAAAAATTTACTCAAGTAAAAGTCAAAGTACCACATTATAATTTTACTTAAGTAAAAGTAAGAAAGTACAAGCTTTTAAAACTACTTAAGTATTAAAAGTAAAAGTACTTGCCAACCATAATACCTAACGGATTATATAATGTCATTAAGTGTACCTATCGTATTTAGTTTGAATAAATCAGTAATGTACCATTTTAATGAGCAATGCTGCAGATAAAGCATGTTTTTATTGTGTTTACCCCCTGTGACAGTTTAGATTTAGATATTTTATGCAGGTCCTGCGTACTGTGCTGCTCTTCTTGAGGGAGGGCCTAATGGTTATTTCCCGATTTTGGATTGGTTCAGCGGACTGATTCTGCTGTCGCCATTGGATACTTTCAAACTAACGAACAAATCAAAAAACCGAAATGCGTCTTGGATGTAACGAGTAACGAAACGCTGTATAGAAATGTAGTGAAGTAGAAAGTACAGATACTTACTGTTAAATGTAGTGGAGTAAAAGTAGAAAGTATCCATTATTAAATCTACTTAAGTAAAGTACAGATACACGGAAATTGTACTTAAGTACAGTAATGAAGTACTTGTACTCCGTTACTTCCCACCACTGGTGCACACACATATGCTGATAACCATCAACTTATCAGGACTTCACATAGCTAAAGACTGAAGACCCCCTTCTATGTTACTTCTGTGGTCCATTCTGTCTGGATCACTGCTTCATAAGCAGCCGGCACACACAGACTTGGGAGAAACAGACGATTCCTGCCCACAGCATTAATCCCCGTCGTAACCACGGTCAGGGAGAGCAATAAGCTCGCCATCAGACCAAATCAGAGCCCGACATCTGCTCGCATCCTGAAAAAAAACAAAAAAACAAAAACTAATCGTAGCCCAGACCTTTGGACAGGGCTCTTTTAAATGGGTGGTATTAAATGGGTGATGCTAGGAGACGCAAACAGTAACGCTCAAATGAAGGTTTGAATCTGGATTGTTAGTAATTGTTGGTACAGTTTCTCTCCATGCAGCCTGAAGTGAGACGCTGCATCCTGATTAGAGCTTCCACACAGAGATGCTGGCGCTGAGGGCCCCTGTTATCTGAGGGGATGTGCTGATGGCGTCGTCTGAGCACAACGCCACTAATAATAGTGCCCGGAGATCTCAAAATAAACCACTGTGTCAGGACTCTGCCCCGGGAAGGACGTCAAAATGATCATTGTTGGATATTTTTAATTCGGCCCTTTTCAGCTGGACCCATTCCGTCTTTATTTTTCCACTTCCTGTTTTTCTCTCACGCCCCTTTCCCTTTCTGGAGCACATCTGTCGCTCCACTGCTCAAAAGCGGCTACGCGCACGTTTCAGTCTGCATCAGCGGGCCTTTCCAGTCCAGTCCAGTCCAGTCCAGTCCTCCTGGACCGGGCCGAGCCTCTGTCACAGCTCTGGAAGAGAAGCGTCCAATTGTCCAGGAAGTCAGCACACGCTGTAATCTTCTCATCTAAAGCACAGCCACGCTTAGCCTGTCACTGCCCCGGCTGTCCCTCCTCTGGAAAATACCTGCTTCCATTCCACCATTGTTAGTGAGGTCTCACGGTGCCCTCATATCTGCTCCAAACACATTCTACACACTCCCTCAAATGATGTCAGATATTTCTGTCTTGTAGCAACAGAAATGTAGTCTTAATCTTGTTTTTCTTTTTGTCCCGGAGGGCCAAAAATAGCCGCTTCTGTCTTATCTTGATGAGCAGAGAGCCGTTTTGTGCAGCTTCACTGATCAGAAGCAGAGCAGTTCAGCATAGAGCCCCAAACTGCTCACAGTCCCCTGGTTCGACCAATCCGGTGAGCAGGAACTGACTTATCATTCGTTTCCTCTCTCTGTGTATACGGCCTTGTTCTGAGATAAAGGACAATTTGCTGCTTTTTACTGCGTCATCCTGCAACTCACACCGCGGCATCTTTTCTCTTCCTCTTCCTCTTCTGGGAAACGACATGAGGAAACCTGCAGCGGCTCCATTGTTTCTGTGGGAACGCAGTGAGTTCAGGGAGCAATCACAGACCATAAGCGCCTTCTTTAATTCACCTATATCTATTCTCAGGAAATGAGAATAGAATTTATGAATTTACGATGTCATATAATTGAGCAAATTGCTCGATGCTCAAAGTGATGAGAGGGTTTGGTAAACTGGGAGCGAGGAGAGAGCTGCAGCATCAAATTTCTCCCTCACAGATTATACTATGGTCACATGTTACTCTGTAACAGAAACGTGCACGTGGAGAAGAAGGGAAACTCAACCTGGAACCTCAAACTCCTTCAAAACATGCTGTTTGGTGGCTGGATGAGGGGATTTCCATTCAGCTGGGGCTCCTGACCAGTCCATTTTCAGCCACCGTGTCCATCTTTGACTTTGACTAGCCACGTTTCAGGAGCCAAAGACTGCTGTGAACTGAGAGACGTGGTTATTACGTCAGATATGGTAACTGTCCGGTTAACTGAGCCTTTTTCTAATCACATAACATCACTACTCTGGACACCAACCGCTGGATTGCGTCATGTCCAAATAAGGAGAACATCACATCGTTTGTCGCTCAACAACTGACCGCTTGTGGACAAAGTAGCGCGCGCGTCTGACCACAGTTAGGAGTTCTGGGGGGTGGGGGGGGGCTGACACGCTGCCAGCAGGATGCGCCAGCAGGTGCGTCCACCGGCACTCTAACGGGCACGCGCCCGCAGAACGAGTCCCGGCATCATTCACGGCGGGAACTCTTCACCAGACACGTGCCCGTGTTGTCAGTTTGTGGCTTTTAACCATCCGCCGGTTCACTTCCTGCCAACCAAAACCAATCAAGCAGCAAAGCCCCTCCAGCCGGCGGCTCGAAAACCTGTTTTCCATCAGAGGCAAATGCAGCTGCGCTCACGTGACCGCGGTTCGAGGGCTTAAAAACAACAGCTGGATTCTCTGCCCCCACGCGCTCGGACGCAAAAACAACGGCGCCCTAAAAACCGAAGGGATGCGGTCGGTCTAAAAACCAGCAGAGAGCCCAGTAAAGCGGAGGGGCATCTTTTGTCTGCTTCTAAGTTAGTGAAGAGGCTCGGAAATGCACCTGAAAGCAGCATAGGTCTGTCCCTAAGAGCCAGCCCTGACCTTG